GCTTATGTCCTGCCGTGTTGTCCCTCCAAGAGAAATCAGGTATTGGGGTGGTTGAAATCCCCCATGAGGACCAGGGCTTGTGAACATGAGGCTGCTCGTATCTGTCTATAGAGGGCCTCATCCGCTCGGTCTTCCTGGTTGGGTGGCCTGTAGCAGACCCTCACTATAATGTCACCTGTCCCTGCCCTCCCTTTAATCCTGACTCATAAACTCTCAATCAGCTCCTTATCCATCCCCAGGTGGAGATCCATGCACTCCAGCTGGTCATTGACATAGAGGGTGACACCCCCTCCTCGTCTCCCCTGCCTGTCCTTCCTAAAGAGTCTGTATCCTTCCATTCCAACACTCCAGTCATAGGAGCTATCCCACCACGTCTCGGTGATGCCAGTAAGTTCATAGCCCTGCAGGCGTGCACATGTCTCCAACTCCTTTTGTTTATTCCCCATGCTACCTGCATAGAGGCATTTAAGTTGGGTCCCTGATGAAGCTGACTTACTAGCTGGAATTTCTTTGTGCTGCTCTTCAGGTGCTTTTGTTGATGTTGGATAGAACAAAGGTCACAAAAGTCAAGTTACATTTTATATCAAGTATCAGGCTTTTGGAAGGTTAGTAATAGTCTTTCCTGGTTTTGCAGGGAGCTTGCCCAAAGCGTGATCTTTTTGTACTTAGGACTTGTTTTTAAATCTTTTTTTTTTTTTCCTTGCTTTAGTGGTTCTGTGGTCATTTTGCTTATGCCTTGAGCAGAGTTAGTGTTTGTACCACAGTCTTGAGGAGAAGTTGCCAGAGTACTCTCTGACCCGGTTCTTTTAGACATTCTACATGTGGAGGGTGTAATGTTTAGTATCAGATTTACTTATTAGGAGATACTTGATTAACATAGGATTTGTGATTTAGCAGAGCAATACAAAATATGCTGAAATCACAATGCAAATGTACATGACACTTGGCAAAATATAGCAATGGCAGTATATAGTTCAATCGCAATACCAATATGATTCCCATTACTGGTCTCTATAATAAGCTCACCATCACAGTGTTGTCCAAAAAGCGGATTCGTGCCTGGCGTGCAAGTAATCAATTCACACGCTTAGGAGAGATATTGTTTTATTCAGGCCTGGGTGCTTGGTGGACTTGCTACAAATCAAGCACAACGGGTCTAATCACTTTTCTGCTTATATTCATAATTCTTATACATATTCTAATTTTCTCTTATACATATTAATTAAATTTCGGAGAACTAATTATAATATTACATTATCCTAGACACATGCACATTAGAGTCTTTCGGGATCCTCTGGTGGTCTTTCAGGGTCCTTTGGTGGTCGTCGATAGTCTTCCTCACAGTGTCCTTTAGTTGAACTCAGTCTTCATCCATGCTCAGTTTTAGCTCCTGGCTTAATTAGCACGTCTCTTGTTAACACAAACTAGCACTACCCTCTTATCTATTCTACTCAAGATACAAGGTTAGCCTCCCTATCTAATTTACGCAGAATACTAAGTTTCAAGGCCTTTTCAAGGCCTTCTTATCTATTATATGGCAGATCTGTCCATTCACAAAGTGTTCCTAGCCATCTGCATCATTTCAACCAAAGAACTATATACCTCTTCGTTGTTTGTTCATATTTGATGTTAATCCCTGTCATATATCTCTTCACTGTTTCTTTCCTTATAAGGTTGTTCCGTTTCCGTGGTTACTGCTGACTGGAGTCTAACAATGCTATCAAGATACACAATTTATCTACATACCTACAAACACAATACCTGCTAGTTACCTAACTTTTAAGCAACAAATCTTAAAAGAACAGTATAAAATAATAGGTACTGTAACAAACTGTATCCACTATACCAACAGCACTGGGCATCCTCCATCACTGGGAAGGAATGTGTGGGTTGAAGCCAGCTCAAGCCCATTGCTCTCTTCAAAATTCTTTTGTTAGTTGTTCAGTTTTTAGACTCTGTGTTGGGCTGAGCCACATAATCACTTCCCCCATGCTGGTCTGGCTAGCTCAGGGAGACATTCACACTCTTTAATGAACTAAATGGGAGAAACACTTACACCATCAGTTAATCCACTCAACTGTTGATAGGTGTTTAACACCACCTATCACCTGAAACAAAGGCCAACCTCTGGCCTCCTTTGTGTTGGGCTAAACACACTTGCTTTGCAAAATCTGTGGTCAGTCACACCCTACCTTATTCCCTGAGATCCCTGGGCACATTGCCCTTGCCCATCTCTTCAGAGCCTTCTTCCATTGTAGGGGTTTATTGGTCAGTCGCAAAAGTGCAAGTTGCAGACCACGGTCCAGTTGCTTCTGTGCTTTACAGACATGCCATCTATAAAAGATCCTTTTGTCAGAGAGCAGAAGTCCAGCTGCTGAGCTGCTAGGGTTTCTACTCTAGTTCAGTCAGCCTTAGCAAGAGTAGCATGTCTGAGGAACTTCCTTCTTCCCTCTGCAAGGGGAAAAAGCAAGATGGTCTTTCATCATAGAAAATTATGTGTGGTAAGGAACCTGCCAAGAGCAGCCAATTAGCAGCATTTCTATCATATATAGATGTAGGCAGCTGAAATATGAAAGTCATTACCTTTACCAAGTCACGTAATGAACGTCAAAGGGAATTGACTAGGATACTCTGCCTTGAGAAGGGCTATTCTCCGAAAAAAGCACTGCCTGTGTTTTCATTTACAGCGTGTTTTTTGGTCAAGCATCTACTTAGGATCCTTTACACGTGGGGAGTTGTGAGTTCGGCTAAACTAACTTTTCCCCTTGCATGAGTAATGTTGCTTTGAACTATTCGTTCCTTAGTAGACCTATTTGTTGCTTAGGCTGCCTTATTTGGACAATTTAGTGTCCTGGCAACGAATGTCTCCCTAGAAATTCTGGAGAAGTATCTGCCTGCTTTACCTTGATAGCTGGGAGAGAATAGCTTGAGGGCTGCCTCAATAGCTGACTTAACGCTGCATGGATCTTAGCATGGACGATACTGTCCGTGATTGCTCAGTTAAGGGTACCTGCTAGTTTCTGCTTAAAGTCAGAGCAAAACCAGGGTCTGGATAGCTGCAGACAGAATATTTGTGGGTTTTGAGGTACAGGAGCCCAAGCGTGCAAATCTTTCTGGGACATTTCTGCATCTCCAGAGAATGAGATTTCCAGGTAGGTGAATTGTTCTGTATTTTCAGCTTGCTTGATCTACTATGTCATCCATCAAGTAATAATAAAGCTTGCATTTAACCTGTCTATTGGCTTTTACTGTGACATTGTAATTAATGCTCACATCTGACCTATTTTTTCCTGTGCTGTCTGTTGCAGTGCTTCATGGCCACAGCAGGGTACTAAACAATATTAGAGGAAACTGATGTTAAGACATACAATTTCCACGCAGCTGGTTGGAAAAGCAGTTGTCACTGCCTTCCTGGTGCAGCATGGCATTTGGACTTGGTGTTCTCTGCCTGTTACTATGGGCAATAACAGGTAAGAGTTTACTTCTTGTGCATCTGAGTCACACAGAATCAGTGAAGCAAATGCTCCTGGAGTGCGTATGCAGGTGTGAATGAAATATGAATAAGGCAAGAGCTGGAAATCTTGTGACTCAGTGCAAAAAGTTCTTGTAAGGTGTAGCTTCATAACTGGCAGTTGATTGCGATGGAGGAAGGCAGTTGTGCGTAGCTGTTTGGAGCCAATTTCAATAGGGCTGTTTCAGGGGAGATGCATGGGGCAAGAGGGGATAGTGGGGGAGTTCAAAGAGTTTTCCTTCTCTTTCTTTTGCAGGACAGCAATTTCAGAATGATGTATTGCTTGTGTTCCAAGCTACCTTTTTTCTTCTGAAGTATCATAGGATGGTTGATTTACAAGCAGCATAAATGCATTTGTTTACGTCTCTCACCTCATCATCCACTCTACAGACATGTATTTCCTTTCAAAGACCACAGGGAAGTCCTGTAAGTTTCCGCTTCAGCCACAGAGATAGGTAAATTATTTCCATAATCAGGCAGATGAAGAGTGATAGTAATTCTTAATACTGCCTCTGTGTCCTAGGGAGTCCTAATCTGGTGCAGGCAGTTTTGACATGACAACTACAGAACAATATATGCAAAGATGGGGTTTATTTCTTTGAAAGACAGTGTCTGAATTCTGGCTGTGGAGATACTGGCAGTATATATATTAGCAGGAATTGAGAAAATAATACTCAGTTATCTGGCTTTCGTCTCCAGTAGTATAAACAGGATTGGCTGTTTCATGAGGGAGAGCCTTGCTAATGTGCTAGGGCTTAAACTGACTGCTGAATTTGGAGATGCTGGATGAGGTATTAACTACAGCTGAGGGGGGAATACGCGTTAGCTACAGCTGTGCTCCTAGCTGCTTTGAAGTAGTTCTCAAGATCACCCTGGGGATCTCACAGTGCCATGAGGAGAACATGGAGCTGAGGGTTTTGTTGCTGTAGTAAACAATAAGTATGCCTTTTGTAAATAAATAAAATGCTGTCCTATGAGATACTGAGTACCTGCTGTAGGGTCCACACCAGTATCTTTAGGAAAAAAACCACAGCAACTTCAATGGAAGGCACTAATGTGCAGTAAATACTGAATTTTGGCTGTAGAGGATGTCAAAGTTTTATGCTTTTGATAATGCTGTTAATTGTTAGCAGGCTAGACTATCCTCCATGTGCATATAGAAAGTCTTGTTTCCATTCTTTAGTTGCAATTTTGCTACACTCTCTTGATTTATCTGAGAACAAGACCATTACACTCCAAGCCTCTCCCTGTATCTCAGGTACCAGCACAGAGTGTTTAGGGGCTAATACATTCTAGTATCACCTATTATTTTAGGATAAATTTTAGTATTTATTTCTTTCCATCTCAATAATTTGCAGTATTTCCATCCAATTAATATTAACTCTAACCAGAAGATACTTGCTGATTTCCAGGATATGTTTGATGAAATACATCAGTGGATGCTCACCTTTGTTAAGTCAAAAGGACTTCTTTTTTGTGCAAGTTTTAAGGTGAATTGACTCAGGCTCAGGAAGTTGCTAGATGTTCATTCTGCAGTTTTTCTCTGCACATGAGCTTGTGCTTTTAAAGGCTACTTTTTCTTAAAAAAAAAAAGTTTTCTTACCACTTGTTTTAACTTAAGATAGTGAGAAGGCTGACTTAATATAAGAAAGGCTTGACATTGCATCATTAAGAGAATAGAGAAATGGGCTCATTAGTGAATATCTTCAGAAGGATATTGAAGAATATGCTCTGGTTTGTCAAAAGAAATTGAGGTGGGCTACTCTCTCCTGTTTAGATGACATTTGTTTGGTGTTTTTTTGTGTTTTTTTATTTTGTCTGTGGCGGCTTTTGGCTAATAGTATTTGACTGCTTTTTATGAATGTGGTGAGTTGACCTTGGCTGGCCGCCAGGTGCCCAGCAAGTCACTCTATCGCTTCCCCTTCTCAACAAGACGGGGGAGAAAAATACGGTTAAAAGCTCTTGGATCGAGATCAGGACAGGGAGATCACTTACCAATTACAATCAAAAGCAAACCAGACTTGACATAGGAAAGTTAATTTAATGTATCGCCAATTAATCAGAGAAGGATAATGAGAAGTAAGAACAAATCTAAAAACACCTTCCCCCCACCTCTCCTTTCTTCCCAGGCTCAACTTCACTCCCAGGTCTAACTGCTTTCCCCAGGTGGCTCAGGGGGATGGGGAATGAAGGTTGCAATCAGTTCATAACTGATTTCGTCTCTGCAGCTCCTTCTCCTCACACTCTTCCTCTGCTCCAGCATGGGGTCCCTCCCACAGGATAGAGTCCCTTCACAAGCTTCTCCAACATGGGTCCTTCCCATGGGCTGCAGTTCTTCAAGAACTGCTCCAGCATGGGTCCTTTCCATGGGGTGCAGTCCTTCAGGAACGGACTGCTCCAGCGTGGATCCCCTGCAGGGTCACAGGTCCTGCCAGAAAACGTGCTTCTGCATGGGCTTCTCTCCATGGGGCTGCAGTTCCTGCCAGGAGGCTGCTCCAGCACGGGCTCTCCACGGGGTCACAGTGTCCTTCAGGGCTCATCCACCTGCTGCCGCGTGGGGTCCTCCATGGGCTGCAGGGTGGATATCTGCTCCATCATGGACCTCCATGGACTGCAGGAGTCCAAACTGCTTCACCATGGCCTTCACCACGGGCTGCAGGGGAATCTGTGCTCTGGTGCCTGGAGCACCTCTTCCCCTCCTTCTTCACTGACCTTGGTGTCTGCAGGGTTGTTTCTCTCGCATATTCTCACTCCTCTCTCCTGGCTGCTGCTGTTGAGCAGTGTTTTTTACCCCTTCTTAAATATGTTATCACAGAGGTGCTACCGATGTCGCTGATTGGCTCAGCCTTGGCCAGTGGTGGGTTCCTCCTCTGTCTGACATGGGGGCAGATTCTGGTGTCTTCTCACAGAAGCCACATCTGCAGTCCATTTCCCCCAATCCCCCAACTACCAAAACCTTGCTACATAAACCCAATATAATGAAAAACAAAGCTAGACCAGTAGGCAGATCACCTAATGGATACAGATATCTTCCACTGACTAATGCTTGTGCCTCTCAGGAGGCTTCAGCTGGATGTGGCAATAGGTAGTGTATACCACGTACTGTGCCTCTGTCACTCATCTCATGCAATTTGGATGATTGACTTCCCTGCAGCTCCTAATTTCTCCACATAGGCATTCCTTATCATCCCAGTCTCATTTCACTGGCTTATATCCATTCATTGATGAGATCAGCTTACATTGAAACAGATTTAAATTATTCTGGCCTTTAATAAAAATCAATCAGTTTTATCCTAATGCATCCAAAAATGATTTTTTTTTTCTTTTCTCCTAGAGAAGGAAAAAGAGAGATAGAGACATAGAGATATAGAAGACACTGCTTTCTACCACAGAAACAACTGGGAATCCAACACCTTGGAATCAATTCAGTCTAGCTCTCATCTTGAGCAGGCATATTCTAATCTGGTATTTGAGGCAGACCTTGCAAGTACTGCTATTGAAATGCATTTCTGCAAATATAATGGCATTCTCATGGCTGACTCTCAGTTTTCTCATGCTGTGTGTTCATATTGTGGTGCTTTGTTCTGAGATTAGCCACTCCAACAAAAATGCAAAGGTGGATTGGCAGGTAATTGCAGTCACAAGTGTCGTACAGTCTGGTCTCCTGTTTTTAACTCCATGCAGCCCAGTCACGGATTACATGACTTCCCAGAGTCTTTGCTAGACATCACCAGTATCCTTTTCTTTACTGTAGGGGAGGGTGTTTCTAAATACATTACAAGCCATCAATTTTCAACACATTTCACTACTGCTGGTCTTGGACTTTGAAGAATAAGATGAATACCCTTTTCTTCCTGTGTATCTAATGTATTAAACATAGGCCAGGAGTGTCAAAGGACACTTTAAGGCATAGGTATGCCTTTGAAATAACGGTGGAACCACTAGCCTGGGGTCACAGTGCATTCTTTGTTACTTATACTGCCATGGCTAGATACTCTAGTAATGTATTCTGGTTCACACAGGTCTTTCCAGAGAGACAAGATGTAGTGCCTGATTATGATCTCTGAAATTATAGTGAGTTGTGCAGTATGCCAGGTTAGTTCACATTGTCCACGTCTCTGTTAGAAGTGGTGTTTCCTCGTGGAGGAATGTAATGGCTGCACCCATGCGTCTACCCTTCTGGTCTCCAACTGCAAATATCCAGTATTATTGATGGGACAGACGAGCTGTCTGTTGAGTGATTCGGTGTGCTTGGATGCTCATGTGTAAATTAAGGGGAGAATGGACTGTGGGTTGGACGAATCGTTTTGACAGGCCAGATCTGGTCTGCGGTTTCGGCACATTTGGATTGTGAGCGTATCCACAGCCTGGTTTAAAAAAAAAAAAAAAAAAAAAAAAAGGGCAGGGGGGGGAGGGGAGAAGTGTTCTTTAGGTGTGGGGTTTTTTTTTCCCCTTTAAATAGCACATAGTTGATTTATCAGTGACAAACAGGGATGATAACCAATCATGGGATGAAAACAGTACTTGGAAAGGACCATCAGGCCCACTGAACTAATTAGGGAGCTTTGACAGATCCTGGACACAAGAAGTGAATGATAAACATCATAAAGGCTGTTCTAATGGCCACAAAAGCTTTGCAGCTCATTGTTTGTAGGCGTAACTAGAATACTATTGGCTTTAGCTTTGTGTTGAGAATTTGCTTTTATGTAACTGAGCATTTTTTTGTCTCCTTCTCCTGCCCTTGCAGTGCTTAATCTGCAGTCAGCATCCTTACGGAGGCCCAAAAAAGCACTGTGGTATCCTGGATGTATCCCTGTTTAAAGACCTGTGAGATTTCAGGGAGAGGGATGGGAAACACCAAATAACCTAAAAGCAGCCTGTAGAAAAAGAATGAAAACACATTCATGGTGTACAGAAATGTTAGCTGTTGCTAGAGGAACTGATGCAGTGACATTTCAGATGTTGATGAAGTTCTCAGTAATACGGCTTTTCTGGTTTCCAGAACAGTGCTTTCTATAGGCCCTTACTAAAGCTGCTGGAGTATAAGCCCTTTTCCAGCATTTATGATATAAAGCGTGCTTTTTAGGGGTTTATAACTGCTGTGGAAATTGGCTCTAGCTTGAAAATTGGAGTTCAGGTTTTCCTCTTAGGTGACTGCAATTAAAAAAAGAAGTTATTTTTATTTTGCTTATTTTTGCTTATCAACATTGTTTTGATGTGTTATTATGGTGGTAGGAAAAACAAAACTTATTTCTTACTGATACAGCATCTTTCCTCTCAAAATTCACCAAAATGAGGTGAAAGTTTCTTGGATAGATAAAAATCATTAACCCTAAAAATAGACTGGAACTAATTTGTTGCTTAAAGAGAGTGGAGGGAGCAGATGTCAAGAAAGCAGAGATCCTATTCTTCCTGTAGGAAACTGCTGTAAGACCTTCCTTCCACGCTCAAGAGTTCAGAGCCTTTCAGGCTGTGAGAATAGTGTGCCACATGAGCTCTCAGTGCTGTGCTGCCAGCAAGAAGGTAATGGGAGGTGATTCTGGTCAAATATATAACTTTTCCTGGTGCAAGGTCTGAATCGGAGCTCTTCTCTATTGCCCATTCCCTCTTGCCCCTTCTTTCTGCTTCTTCTTGTACTGCTTGCTGCTAGGGAAAACAAATAGATGAGTCCACAAGTGGATAGTTCTGTCCTTGCAGAGTTTCAGATTGGGGTAATTAGCCAAGATGAGCCCAGTGTTAGTACACTGTCACAATTTGCTACTTACTGACTAAAGAATATTTGCTTCCGAGTCATTCAAGTGCTCATTATTGTGTGAGCCTGCCAGAGGCGGGGAAGAGCATCTGTTAGGTTTTGCAGTTAGTCTCCATGTCCAGTTGAGGAAAGGTCTCCAGGCAGCTGTGATGGAGAAACAGCTGTGTTCCTGCTGGGCTCTTGACATCAGTGGACTCATGCACCAAGATGTAAAAAAGTGGTAGCATGCAGCTCAAAGAAGAGTGTGGATGTTTCCTCATTAAAGGAAGGAATCTCTTTAAAATGAAGCTATATTCCACAGTGTTATTGTTTATTAGGGTAACCAACTTGCCTGACTAGGTCTCTGGATATCTCAGTGTTGTCCTACTGTAGACATAACAAGGTACAGCTAAAAGGAAGGGGAACACTCAGCTTGCAGAACTTTTAGGCTATTGATGGCCCAGGCACCAGAGGGCTTTCAGGGCTCATAATAAAGGGAAGCAGTCTTGCTGTGGGTAACCTGAATGACAACTACTGAAACAATAGACAGAATTGTATGGTGCTATCTTTTTGCCATTACTGGTCAGAGTAGAACAGTGCTTTAATTTCTGACTTCAATTAACTAAAGGAAACCAGCCATGCTATGACCTCAGACGGCAAGTAATGGTTTAGCAGACACAAATGTTACTATGTGACCTTTCATGTGGCACACTTTCAGTACATTTTCTGTAAATACGAGACCTCGCTATCTCTTACTTAACCCCATTGCAGACTGGAGATTGGATGGGGTGGAGGGGAATATGAAATTAGAGATCAGATTAGGTTCTCTCTAAGTAGATCTTATATATTTTCTATCTGAAGAAAATTAATGGATACACCTAGTGTCAGGCTGAAATAGCCTGCTAAATTCATCCATTCTTGCCCACCTACTGCTAGAATTTAACTCAGGGGTAACTCTAGCTGAAGCAAGAGATGAAACTTTGATATTTGGGTTACACTGTTAGATTTAATTTAGAGTTGGCAGGGGAATTTTCCCATTGTACAGAAATTCTGAAGCTTAATGTTTTTTCCATTCCTTATTGGGATGAAACCAAGGCCTTCTGACATTTGAAAAAGGGGGTAGCTGAGGTCTGTGGCTAGGAAACTTCCTTGGGAGATATAGGTTCAAAGTCACGCATATGCTGGGCTTGTTTCTCTCTATGGCTAATGAAACACCATTAATTCCATGGGAGATTGTCTCTGCAGTGTGATGGCTGATGTATCAAACTGAAAGTGGCAGAGTGAGATTTGAAGCTTTGACATCACGCTGAGTGAGGACCTGAAATCTGGCCTCATATTAGAGCTTTGGATTATTCCAATTGTGTACATCTGTCTCTAAGACAAGAATTGTTGGTCATTCTTTTCTGAGCAAATAAATAATGACACTTTCAAATTTCTTTTAATAGGTTGGTCACTTTCTTCTTCAGGGATAAGGTAAAGAAGGAAAGGGATGAAAACAGCCCTCAAAGGAGTTTTTTGACCCACCTTAATAGTGCTGTTCCTAAAGTATTAATTGTAATGAGTTACTACTGACCTAATATTGCACATTCACACAGAGTCATGTTTCTGTTTTACCCTATTAAAGGCCTGTTTCTCATCTGCCTGCTGACTTACAGGATTAACTAAATTGATACGCATTGAAAAAGAATAGAATGGTTAAATGGGCTGCCTGACTCCTATACTTCATTTTAACACAGAGCTCTGCTGGCTCACCTGTCCTAAGTTGTGCAGACAACTTAAAGGAAAGACTTGTGATGACAATTCAGAGTCTCTGCCAGGGTCTTACGTTCTTGGAGGTGAAAGGGAATGTAGAGGAAATATTTATATGCAATGTGAAAGAAAAAAATGCACAAATCCTGAGCATCTCCTGGGTACAGATGAAGATACTTCATGTCTGGGCTATGTTAGAACAGGATAGGTTGTTTTAAATTCATGTTCCCCTGGATAGATTTTTCACTGAAAGGGTAAAGTGGAAGAGTAAACAGCATACCAGCTCTGTGTGAAGGAGTAGCTGGAGTCAGAAAAACGGTACTTGAAGTTGTTTATCCTCATTGTTAGCTTCCTATTCAGCTATACCTATCTGCAAGTCATTGATCTTTTTTAAAATTTGGTTTTGTTTCATGTTTTTCCTTATCCCAAATAGCCAGCTCTGCAAAACCATCATAAAGTTTTGTCCTCTCTGTCCCCCAGTGTCTGATGCAATTTTTTTGTTTGTTTTGGGTTTTTTGCATTGAACTTAACCTACATTGCAAGCTGTACATTCATCCCAGGCAGTATGATGCCCCACAGGTATTTCAGTGGCTGTATTCAGATCATGTGTTGTGAAGGAGTGTACTGCAGTTCAGCCCGGAAGATGTGGTGGGGACTGTAGTGCAGTGGTTGGATACACTGCACGCGTAGGAGAATCTCTGCATCTCCAAGGCTCTAGGTCATGGTCAGACCTAACCCTTATTGCCAGCCTATTCCTACTCCTTGATTTCATTTTTCCTGCCCATCAGCTCAACGGATTTGAGCTGGAATCCATTAGTCAAGCTGTCTTTTTCTTTTTCTCCTGCCATATGCTATTGTGAATAATGAGATTTCTGCTGCCAGAACTCAACTGTTAACGGCGTGTAAAGCAGGCAGAGCCAACTTTGTCTTCCATTACTGTGTTAGCTCTGTAGTGGTGACATCTTGTTTTCATTGGTTGAGTTAGCAGGTCTAGTTGAAAACCATAAAGAATGGTTAAGAAGAATGTCCTGGTTTTACTCAACTGTTTTTTGAAGCACAATCAGATTTTTCAAGTTGCATTTTGGAGACAGGAATTCTGAAGAGCAGTTATAACCAGGAAAAAAAAAACCTAGAAAAGATGTTAAAAATTGACTGAGATATACAGTATGTTGATTCATGCTGTTGATTTGAACACTTCACACTCAGTCTGTGATGTGCTATGAAAATAATTCTGATGTCATACTAAAAGATTACAATGTCACTGCAAAAGAAGGAAAGATGCTCCCTACTGGAGCAAGCTCTTGGGATTTAACATGAACTAGTGAGTAAAGCAACAAAAGTTTGAGAATTTGATCCAGGTTTTATATTAAGCCCAGCAATTATGTTGGTGTGAGGGACTCTTCATGAAGTTCAAGTGAGATGGTAAATGTTTCTCCTATGTAGATTTTTGCTGCCTTCTCCCTCAAATGAAACAATGACATGCTACAGCATCTTATTTGAGTTTTGTTTTAAAACATGTTTTGCTCACTATGCTATGGGGATAATGAAGGTATGATTTTTTTTTTTTTTTTGTTCCCTACTCTGTTCTTGTTTTTAAGTATTGGCAACTCACTTTCATCTCGATGTATTTGTAGCAAGGGTACTTTGCAAAACATATCAAGATCCTACACTGAAAAATCCTCCAACGTACAAATACTACTGCAAAGCGACATGGTGGAAAAAAAAGTAGTGGTGACGTTAGTGAAAGGAAATGAGCTTATTTAAGGAGGGTACCACCTGTCTTTATCTTGTCTCCTGTGATAAGCCATTTTTGGTCACAGTAAACTATATTATGGCTTGGTTGTAGTGTTGTGCCTTATATTGGTGGTGTTGTTTCAGGTTCCAGTTGTGAGCAGTGCAGAGAAGGAGCCACGTACTCAGGTGCAGTAATATCTCCCAACTTAGAAAACACTAAAATTATGCGAGTTCCTCATGCTATATCAGTGTCTGACTGCATCGCAGCATGTTGTGACCTCTCTGGTTGTGACTTGTCCTGGATGTTTGAACGACGTTGTTACATTGTGAACTGCCAACACAAAGAGAATTGTGAACCTAAAAAAATTGAAACTGTAAAGTCCTATCTTACTTTTGTGCTGAGGCCTTCTCAGAGGCCAGCCTCGCTGCTAGGATTTGGGCAAGTGATCCCAAGCATGGTCCACTCTGTGGGACTCCAGAATGAGCCGTCTGAGGAAGTGAGTAGCCTGAAGGAGCTGTCTCTGCTTGCCAAAGATCCCAGCCTTGAGGAGATACCTGAATACATTGATGACTATAAAGAGTTGGAGCAAGACCCCTTTCACGTGAGCATCAAACATGAGCAGAAGGAGAGCACGGATTATGCTGACTGGGGCCTGATGGTGGCAGGTGAAAATGGCTTCAACTCTTCCATGGGTGATGATGGAGAAAACCAGGAAGACTTTACTGAAAAGAAAGGGGAGGCTGGGAAGGTGGAAAGCCTTCTGAATAAAACCAGCTCTGAATTGAACTCTGTCACTGAAGACTCCATAGAGAGGTTGTCATCTCTTCCAGAGATCACACCATTCCCCGGGAAGACATTTGAAAGTGAAGCAGCTGATGATGCTTTGCAAAAAGAGGTATGTTTGCCCCTCAGGAAGCAGCCAGAGTATGGTGAGGCCACTTTGCAATTGTTTTGTTTTTCAAATCAAATTAGGTTATTGCTTTGTAATGTAACCCTAACACTCAAATGACTTACAGACCTGTTATAGTGTAGAAGAAGCTGAAGGGGAGAGGATTGTCTTAATAGGTAGATGAATCGCTAAAGGACTCTTTTCTATCAGATGATAAGGAGCAGAGCCCCTTTTGGGACACTGTGGCTTTTCCTTGGAAGTGTATAGATGAGTGGGCTTGGACCTGGTGTAGCAGCGTTATGGTATTCTTCCTTTCTGACCCTTGGTGACTCATTAGAAGAAGTTAGCTGAGCAATACTAGTGGACCCTCTAGTATCCAAAGGGCAAGACAAGCAAACATAAGTATAATCAACAAAATTAAGCCTGTTTTATGGGTTTCATGTTACTAATGCATAGTGGTGTTACAGATGTAGTGGTGCTGAGTGAATATCTTTTATAATGCTTTTAAAATATGTAAGAGAGGCAAGGTACATAAGGAGGGACAGTGATGGTTTTGGGCCATGATGTACAGCAGCATAAAGTAAATAAGGTGTTTTTGTTCTCAGAATCCTTTTCTTGAGTCTGGCAATAAGAAAAATAAGTCAAATACTTAAAACCTAATTTAGATATTTAAGTACGATGCACCTGTTCTCTATTTATGCCAAACGGTTTGATCAGTCGAGACTGAAGGGGCTCTGGTTCCTTGAGAACAGGGCGGGATTAGCTGGAAAGTTGAAACAGGCTGTAAAGTCAACATTTACTGGGTTTGACACACACCCCTGCTAGGTGGAAGAGGAGGTTAAGCAATGTTAGCTGGATTGCTCTAAATTCCACCAGATTTTGTAACCAGCAACTACCTATCTCTTGCTGTAAAAATGATAATTTATTGCCATTACTGTAGGGAAGAACAATACATGTAAATAAGAAAGTTGCATGAAATCTGTGACAACTGAGCGTCTTGGGGGGGATGACTGAAATGGCAAAAGTATGTGTGGAGAACAGCAAGTCTTAAGATACAATCTAACTTGGATACCATTGCAGCCTAGAGGTGGCAGTTTCTGGGCTCTGCTTTGAGATCTTCTAGATATTCTGAGAACTTCTGGGATTCTTGGGGGGCCTCTGGGAGTGCTGTGAGGAATATGAGTGGTTGCTGCAGCTGGGAGAGGACAGCTAACATAAGCTGGGGCCTCTAGCAGCTTCTCACAAGCTCTGTTAGCTGTTCTTGATCAAAGGGTGCTTTGGGCTTTTGTCCTAGCCGGCTCATGATCATGGAGGGTGACACACCCTTTCAGCAGGTGCTAGGGGGAGGCCTAGGAGCTCTGCCTAGACATGGGAATGAGCTAGTCAAGAGTTTGTATGGGTCAGGGCTGGCAGGCCCACTGTTGTGGGCAACATTAGGGTGTGTGTCTACTCCAGTCTGCCTCGTCAGGAAGAAGTAGATGAAGCCTTCAGGCAATTGGGAGGAGCCTCATATTCACAACCCCTGGTCCTCATGGGGGATTTAAGCCACCTCAATACCTACTGGGAGGGCAAGAGAGCAGGGCACAAGCAATACAGGAGGTTTCTGGAGTGCGTTGATGATAACTTCAAGAAGTTATTAGAGGTGATTGTGGAGCTGACAAGGAGAGAGGCTTTGCTGGACCTCACCCTTGCAGGCAAGGAGGGATTGGTTAGGGATGTGGCCATGAGGTGGTGGAGTTCAGGCTCCTGAGAGGGGCGGGAATAAGTCAAAAAGCCGGGTCACAGCCATGGGCTTCAGGAAAGCAGCCTTTGGCCTGTTGTGGGATCTGCTTGGAATAATCCCAGGGGAGACTGTCCTGGAGATAAGTGGGGTCATGAGAGCAGGTTGCTTTTCAAGGATCACCTCCTCCAGGCTCAAGATAGCCTGTGACTCTTGTGACTGACCAAGTTGGTCTGGAGTGTGTTGGCATGAGTGAGAAGACATTAGAACTTGACTCCATGCGTATGGAGGAACACTTGATAAAGTGCTGTTGCAAGTTGAAAAGCAGGTACTGCTTCTGCAGGCAGAGTTGACAACAAAAGACTTGTTTTAAAAAGTATCTACCATGCAGACTTTGAATAAGCATAAATTAACATGGGAGTTTAGGCAAGAGGGGTAGATACTATTTGTTTTTTCTATCAGTATGCAAAAAGTACGTATAAATGTACATATGAAAAGTATGATACCAAAGTATACTGTCCCTGCTGATAAAACTTAGAGTGACATTCTGTCATGCAGTAGAATTGCAGTTAGTTCTAACAAAGGGCAATAGCTAAGCTGTTCTTACAAACTTAAAATTAAGGAAACCCAACCACTGCTGTACTAAGCTCATCTTCCATTTTTCCTTCCATCTGCTAGGAAACTGACAGGCATCTTTTAGTTACTAGCTGTGCTGTGTGCTGGAAATTAAGCCATGGAAAGAACCTGCAGTAGCTCTGTGCACCACCATGTTTGTGCGCTTTGGACATGCAGTAAGACCTGAAGCTTGCCTCCATTGTATTTTGCTGGCAAATGAAAGGCACATTAGCACTGTGCTAAGCTTTAGCCAATTGTCAGGATCTCTGCAGACTAAACTGCTTATGCCTTGTGCCTTAGAGAAGCCATACAATTTTGAGGTCACTAAAGTGTGTGGTAGAGCTGAGCAAATATTTGTTCCCCATCTTTAAGGGATCATGTGAATACAGCTTTATGAAAGTTGAGATTTCACATCTTGCAGTGGTAATGATATATATGGCCAAGCCTACTTTGTAAATCTCTACTTTGATTTTGCCACCCCAGCCAGAATAAAAAATTTTGCTTTCTCTTTGTGTGCTGCCTGTGTAGGTGGGAGTTTATTGTAAAGTGAAATGGAGAGAAACCTATTTCTTCCTGGGACACAGAGGAGCATTGCTGTGTGGTCTTTACATCACACTAATATTATGCTAGCACAGCCATTGAAATTCCTATGGAAAGGCTGAGGAATGAGCTTGCTTTTTTCAGTGCAGAAGGGACAAAGCTCCAAAACTGGGTCAGTCTTTAGCCCCAACTGGTAGTGATGTTGAAGAGCTGATAAGGCAACTGTAGTTAGAAGGTGATCCGGCAGTGCTCTGTTAGCAGAGCTGTAGAGGGTTGATGGGATAGCATTGAAAGCCATTCATGAAATGTATTGTGATGACTATAAAGGTTCTCTATTAATGTAGAGAAAGGTTAAGAATCTGGAGAAGCAGACGGTTTTGAGAAACTGCCGAAGCCTATGCAGCCTTTGTTTCCCAAGTGGGAATTCCTAAAATTCCCTTTGAATTTAGATATTCGTAGAGAAATGAAGATGACAAGCAGTTTTGGCAAATACCTTTCCCTGGCCTTCCCAGGCTCAATTTCAGTCCAGACATATCTCCTCTCCCCTTCTTAGTCTCCACTCCCCTTCTTTTTACTGCACACTATGCTCAGTGGTGAGGTGACAGGCAGCACAGGAGATTGGGGTCAGTGCATGGCAGTTTCCTTTTTGCCACTTGTTGCTTCTTCCTCTTTTCTGCCATTGTTCCTTCCTTCTTGTTTCCTCTGCTCCGGTGGGCTTCTCTGTGGGCCGTAGTCCCCTGGGAGGTAGCATGAAGTGCCTCGTTCCAAGAGGGTGTCTCGTTCCAAGCAAGCTCATTCCTCATAATGACCCCTTCTACATGTTCCCTCTCATGTCTCCTGGTGTGCATCCCCCCCACCTCCTCCTGTGTCCCCTGCCCCCAGCCGCTATTGCCCTTTCTTACCTATGTCTGAGTGGTTGCAGTGTTGGTGTGTGGTGGCTTGTTTCCATCCATTGCCAAACTGTCTGGGACCACAGAGGTGACCCCTGCAGCCAGTCCCCTGCCACCCAAACGTGCCAGTTATGCCTAAGACAAACTTCTGGCTTGGCTTCAAGTTTTTCTTGTTTGGCAACTGCACTCGTGACTCTAGTGAAAAAGATGCTGCCTGTGATAAACTCTGGTGATACGATTTCCTTCTTATGTTTCTCTTTCTCCAGCAAGAAGACATTTTAATCAAATCTCATGTGGATTATTCAGGCACATATTTGTGTTTCCTTCTGAAAAAATGTTTCTTTGGAAACCAAATTTTGTTATTAAGGAAATCTTAAAGTTTTGTACTGGATTAAAAATGCTGAGATGTCTCCATATAGTTTTCTCACTGGTATATGATCCAAACTACCTCTCAAACTGTGGTCTTTTTGTATAGGTTATGAAAATGTGAAGGTCTTAAAACCATTTTTGCAAATAACTTTAATGAAATTCTGTTTATTGCATGTTATACATTATTTTCCTATCCCCCACTTAATTCTGCCACAGCAATTTTATAACTCTGTTCCTAGATCCATGCTGACGCACTCCATTCTGCAGTTTCCAGACAAAGCTGTTTTGACAAGCAAGACAAAGCAGGGTGGCAAAAATGCGGTTCCCTCCCTTCGCAGTAGTCAGCAGGATGCAGTGTCCTCAGGTGCTGTGTTCTTTGAGCAGGGACCTGGAGAGAGATTTTAAACTATGAGACCAACAAAACACAGGCTTATGGAGTCTGTGCCTGGGTGCATCCTTGTTATAAATGCCGTCAGGTGTAGGGGGTTTTTGTATGTGACTTGGAATAGAGCATATGGGGTTTGTTAGCTAACTGAGTAACCTGACTTTTGGGTTTACATCAGAGTTCAGAGGGATCTTATGGACTGTCACCCTCTAGCAGCTCAATAACATGAATACATTTAGAAATCTGTACAGAATAAATGCTGTCAAGCTGCCCAAAACAGAAATCTGCAGTGCTGCCCATCCTTGAAGTGAGATACCTGTAAAGTATTAATTGTCTTTTTAAAATTTCCAGTTAACTGCTGATCTGCTAAGCAAGGTGAGGTTTTTTCAGGTCTTTGTCAGGTTCCAGCTACTGCTATGTTGATGATGCAATGTTTCAAACATTTATTCAATAGGTTAGGCTTGACTTGATTCTTGAGCTTAGTGCATTTGCAAGAATAATGATGCAGTCAAAATGCATAAAGCTCTACCTAAGAAAGCTTAAGACGGCTGACAATATATGTGATGAAGAGTCTTTTTATGTCTGATTGTTATGCCTTCAGAATTGATATTTAAGAGTTAGAATGAAGTGGAATATCAGAGATGTTCGTATCTTATTTTGGCTTTGTTTCAGTTTTGAGACCTGTGAATGATAAACAGTCCTGTTTGGTTAAAAATGCATTGACTTGATCCCTAAGACCAAGACCCCTGAAAGATATTTTGATATTTAGATTTACCTGTCAAAAATGCTTGTTTGTTTCTTGAAGTCTGCACTTCGTGTCATACAATATGATGGTTTGCTCTTTTGCAGCTCCCCAACTACACCATTAGTACAGGTCATACTTTCTTGAAATCATTAGACAGATAACTGAATGCAGAGAAGGAGGGAGGAGAAGACCAGTGAAAGAGCAGAGTTTTGCTGCTGACAGAGCTGCTCTCCGTAAGATTTTCCAGATAAATGAGAGCAAATGCTACTGCAGTTATGTAGCAGTCGTATGTGCAGAGGGACATGGAGGAAATACTGCTGGGGAAGCAGTTGTATAAAACACAACACTAGCAGCCCTTGACTCACCAAAGTCCTGATCAATCGTCTTTAGGAGTATTTGAGGAAGATGCTTCCTTGAGGGGGAAGGGTGGGTTGCCTTGGAGGATCAGGATGGAGCAAGGCAACAGGGTTGGGCTTGTCCTTCCCATTCATGGGGAGAAAAGAAAGCACCCAATCTGTGGTGTCAGCCAGGGACCAAAAGTGGGGAAGGAACCCCCTTGGCATGATGCTGTTGCCTGAACTGTAACTTTGAGCTTTCCCAGGGAACTGCATGACTATTTTTTTTCCTTTTGGATTATGGGGGTGTTCTTGTTTTCTGTTGGAATTCTCAAGAGATTTGCATTCAAGTCAAACCCTGAGAACTGAAGGACTTGGGCCCTCGTGGTTGGTGTGTTTATTTTGTAACAAGCAGTAGTGGCTGGACAGGTGGGTAAAAGCAAACAAAAAAACCACAAAGCCCATACCAACAGAGCTGCCTACGCTACTCACTCCCAGAAAGAGTCCTTCTTTTCTTTCCTTTTCCTTTCAGTTCCCAAACTGGAATTTAGGTTAATCTTGCCTTCCACATCTGCTCCAACGTATCTTTCATGATAGTTTCTGCCTGAGAGCTCAATTTCTGATATTGCCCCTGCCCCAGTTATCTGCTGCCTGCTAATGTTCTTAGTTTAAGCTACCTTTTTGACTGACACTGCTTCAGATGTGACAGTGCCACAGGGCACCTTTTTTGACTGCAGAGTCTTGCCTAGGCTTGCTGACTGAAGAGATGTTCGGTGCCATTGCAGAAGAGAGTGTCTCAGGAAAGGTACGTTTGAGGTGACTTTGTTGCCATCTGTCCCACAAAGCCAGGATGGCTGCTTCTCATGTGATAGATTGGCAAAGGGCCAGGAGAAGAGGAAAGCCAGAGGAAGCTCACAAAAGTAGATTTCCCTCAAATTTGGAAGGCAAAGAAACACTTTGGTTTGCCAAAGTGTGGTAAAGAAGATCGTTTTGGAAGATGTGGGATGGTGTGAGTATGTAAAGCAGAGATGTCTGGAGGAAAGGCCTTTTGTCAAGGTGTGAGGCAGGACAGGCTTCAGGCTCTCCCTGTGCATGATAATGTTGTCAAGGGTGAGATACCTGCCGAGGGTCTATGGTTGGCATGCTGAAGGCACTGCCTTAGGGAAGCAGTGGTCCCTGATCCTGCTGTCAGTGTCCCAACTGCTCAGAGAGATCATCTTAATATCTGCATATTGAGCAGAGCTGGAGGTGTGGCCACAAAGGTGCTTGCATCGTCTGTGTTATGGACCTATCTGGAGGTGCAGCTCTTGGTGTGGTCCTCGACATGATCACAGAGTAGGCAGCCACCATCCCCAACACTGCTGTCACTGTCCCAGCTGCACAGGGATCTTTTCTCTCTGTCCTTGTTGAAGGCAGAGATGGAGTTGCAGATGACTTCCATGCTTTCTGTTTCCTCGCAGGCTGGGAAGCAACAGTCGCTGGCATTGCTTTCATGTTCCCAGCTGCACAGGGAGCTTTTCCTCCTGTCCACATCCAAGGCAGAGCTGCTCTGATTTCCTAGGGAGGCAACAGACTGCAGAGTGAAAGTGGAGCACCTGAAATACGAAGAGAAGCTGAGAAATGGGACTGTTCAGCCTCGAGTAGAGAGGGTTCAGGGGGATCTTACCAATGTATATAAATAATTATAGCAGGAGTGAAGATGGAGCCAGGCTCTTTTCAGTGCTGTCCACTGACAGGACAAGAGGCAATGGACACAAATTGTAATACAAGGAGTTATATTTAAACACTAAGAAACATCTTTTTCTTTTTTCCTGTGAGGATGGTCAAACACTGGAACAGGTTTTCCAGAGATGTTGTGGATTCTGACTGGACATGGTCCTGAGCCGCCTGCTGTAGCTGACCCTGCTTTGAGGAGGGGGGGTTGGACTAGGCTATCTCAGAGGTCCCTTCCCATCTCAGCCATTCTGTGATACGAGTGTGCATTTTACCAACCTTCGTAATCCCATTCTTCAGTTAATAGATTATGTACAAATAATAGCAGTATGTTATGTCTTCATGTGCCACACACAGTAGCCATAATTGGCAAAATGCTCTTCTCTAAATGTTAGGTCAGAAATAAGTCTTGAGAACGTAAGGAAAAACTATTGGCCCGTTGAGACTAATGTGTCGCTGAAAGGTGATGGGGCCTGAGAGAGAGGGGCAAGGTGATGGGCAAGGCTAACACAGTGCTGAGTTATTCCTGCAAAACTTGCTGTGTCCTTTGCTGCAGTTCTGATTTACTAACAAGTTGGGGCAGTGAGAAGAACACACTGCTTGGTGACTGAAGTAGAGAGATTTAGGGCATTTTATTAGTGGTGAGGGAATAAGGCATGAACAAGTTCTGGTCTGAGCAGGTGTAGTAAGAGGCAAGGATTCTGTTATGTTTGTGTGTGGACAGCATGAAGACAATACTACTCACCACACAGACTTTCTGTCATTGTTTTTTAAAGGTTTATAACTATATTTAGATCTGTCCTACTGTTCTTTATTATTTTGAGAACTGATAGCCTTAGTTGTATTCCAGGTTACCTCATTTTGATGACCATAGACTACACTGTTCTGCATCTGAAACTTGGAAAATGATTAGCATTTCTTGCAAAGCCTGATGGGGAAAAAAACAGTCCTCCTTTGATAGATATTCTGTATTGAATAAAACCTCCTAGTAACATAAATCAGTAGGCTCACCCTACATGCTATTTAAAAAACAGCATACCTCTAAATCTAGAAATGTGAAAAATGGCTCACTTATGACAACTAAATTCATTTTTCAGGCTGCCACGCCTTCCCCTTCTTCAGACAAACTGGATTTCTCCCCCGGTGTGTCAGAGAAAACCCAGAATCCCACAGTGGCCCCAGAGAATGTCACTGAAGGTGGGATCATGCTACTTCCCCCTCATACTGTGCCATCTGAGCCCATGCAGCAATTCACACCACCTGCTACTGCTGCTAAAGCAGGTAATGTTTCAACATAGCTGGAGATCTGAGGGGTACCTGCAGGTTGGACAGCGGGCAGGGATGGCTTTACTACTGTCAGGCTTCCAACCTGTTGTTAGTTATGAGCTTGCTTTTTATCCAAATGTAAGCCTGTAGACCTGCAGTAACATTGCAAACTCCAGACCACTTAGCCAGTTACTTCTGAGGCAAAATTCTGACCAAGTCCGTCATTAATGGGAAATTATAACTCAAGCAAATACAGCAAAGTAAAAAGCAGAGATTAAGAGCCTTTTTAAATGGGTTAATTTTTATACCTGGTGAGAAATACCTGAGGCTTTCTGGAGTTTCAGAATAGTCTCTCCTAGCCATACTGTTATTTTTGTGTGACTCTTCAGAACATTGCTCCCTCTCAGAAACTCTTCAGTAGGGTTCCCACTGTGTATAGTTGTCAGATACCATGCAGCAACATAGGTGGGACTGAGGAAGCTCACCCCTTAATAGGGGAGAAGCCTAGCCCTTAATAGGGGAGAACATGGCCTCCTCATCCTGGGGAAAAAAAGTTTTGCTCTAATTTCAAAGCTGTGAGGAAGCTTATCAGAATTCCAGCTGCAAAGCAAAAAGTTTTGAAAAGGACATGTTTAACCACTATGTCCTTTGTAGTTGGGTTAAATTCTTTGTATGTTAGAGTATCTCCTTTCTCCTGCTGGGTTTCCTGCCTCCCTGTGCACCCTGACAAAGGGTTAGAAGGGCCACAAGAAGCAGAGAAGCACAGATGTGTGTTCTTCTGCACTCCTGATGTACTGAGGGATATGGAGAGCTAAGCCCTTCACTTCCTGGTAGAGCAAGTCTGATTTGAGACATTCTTGGCACCCTCTGCCAAACTGCAACGTGCCAGCCAGGATAGCAGGAGGAGGTAACAGGAAGAGATGAGCTACAAAAGATCCCTCTCCAAGGCAATGGATCATCATAACCATTGAGTGTTGACTAGGCAGCTCCTCCTCCTCCTTCACAGGAGGAGGTTGAAGAGGACTCAAAAAGGAGCTTGGAAGAAGAAGCTGAGGGGAAGGTTGTGATGAATCTTACCGTAAGTACTGCTTTGTGCAAGGATTGCCTCAAGTTTGTGTGTTCTCAGCCCTACTGTCTTGGAAGTCTCAAAGACAGTCCCTCCTTCTCTCCTTTGGTCATCACCATCTAGCCATTTTATTCTCATCTCATGTGGAGGTCAAAATACAAATCTCCGCTCCACTGGTGTCTAGGACAACTCCCATGAGCAATTATGGAGCCTTGGATGCATTTAAGTAGCAGTGACAGAAAGTCAATGCTGTCAATGTGGCCTCTTCATCCATTTTTAGACCTGTCAGCTGCCACTACTGAGTAGCCTTTTGCTCATCTGTTCAGAGTTTGTAAGTTGGACGTTTAGAAACTAGTGAATGTTGCTTTTGGAGAATCTTTGTTCCGTGGGTTCACAATATTAAAAGGAAGACGTTTAAAACCTTTGAAATACAGGTTTATGGGAACCTTTCCTGAAGTTGTGCTTTGGTATGTTTCTGTTGGGGACTGGATTTGTGGAGTTCGGCATTTTTGGAAGAGGAAAGAGTTTTCACAGATGAGAACTGGGAGGGTGGTCCTGGATGGCAAATAGATTGAATGTGCAGTTCAGCTACAAAATAATATCTTTGCCCTGCTATACAAGTGGAATTTTTAAAAGGGACACTGAGCTGGACGTTGAGGCGTGCCTCACAAGTACCACACAAACATAGAAGTAGTGCTTCTTGGTGAAAGAAGGCGTGAAGTTCTAGTATGGACTATGTTACTTTATTTAATGAGGTTTGTTCTGGTGCAGATGGCTTTTTTGTCTTCTGTTATTGCCTATTTTTTAATACCTGCACTTCTATCCAATTACTAAGAAAAATGCATAACTCTTTATGCAGAGCAATGTTACCTGTGATATACAGGAATAATCACAATGCTTTTCTCTGAAACAGAAGTAGGGGAAATGACACTTCATATTTGGGGAAGAAGAAAAATTTTGGTTTGGTAAAAGATGAAGGAGCCATAGTCATGATTATAATAGATTATTATTTCATTATGTGTTGAGAAATTTTTTTTCTTTTTTTACTTATCCTTGCCTATTCACTGTAAAGTGTTTGTCAAATTTTACTTAACCAATTACAAATAATATTTGAAGATACTAAATCTATATCCGTCCCATCTGTTAAAACATAATGTACTCATTCTGTCTTAGATACAGTAAAAGAACTTATTGTGTCTGCTGGAGATAACATACATGTGATGCTACCCAAAAATGAGGTTGAACTGAATGCCTTTGTTGTCCCGTCACCGCCTACAGGTGAGTTGAATGACCTTGGCCTACAAGGAGATGCATGCACTACCAACCTGTAAATGCAGACAAGTCCCGAGTTACGTGAAGATTGCACCTCAGGATAAAGCCATCTTTCTCATCTCCTACTACTACCTTTTTTGTGGCTGCAACTGCAGAGAGGATTTCCTCCTTTGGATTTTAGAGATTTTTTTTTTTTTTTTTAAGTGGCTTTTGTTTTCAGAACCTGCACTCATTAGCCAGATGGTTCAATAGAAAGCCTGTAGTTTCTACCAAAAGATGATGTGGCCCAGGTTATAGCATCTTTCTGTAAAGCATAGGGGGGTGGAAAGTAGGTTCTGAATGCAACATTTACCTTAAAACTACCAGCTTCTGAACTGCAGCAGCAAAGAATACATATTTCATAGGTAGCTATGTAAAATGCTACCTTCACGTGAAGCTGGTTTTTGTGAAGAAGTCCATTATTTGTGAAGTCCGTTACATCCTTGCTGCTTTACCAAGTTACAGTTACAACACACTGTGGAATTTTAACATGTATTCGTACTGCTTCATTTTGCAGGTTAAACAGTAACAGTCATGATTTCTACTGTAGCATTTTATCTGACGGATGGTGAACTTGATTTCTTGGTTTTCTGGGCTTATCTTGAAGGCAAAGCTGATTACTCTTATGCTGTGTTATTGCTCTTAGAAGCAGCCTACACCTACGAGTGGAGCTTAATCAGTCATCCTCCTGACTATGGTGGTGAAATGGAGCGCAGGCACAGCCAGACCTTGAAGCTCTCTCATGTAAGTGAGCTGTAAGCTCAGGCTCACTGTGCTTGTGCGGTCCTTTCACGGGAATCTAACCTGTGGGGAAGGGCACCTTGATTCAAGGAGTTCGAATAACTGCCAGAGTCTCTTCACTCGCATGTGTCTGCAAGTCTTTGCCATATTAGAAGTGTCTTTTTTAGAGTGCTTTAATAATTTTCTAAGATAGAGTAAAAATTCCTAAGTGTTTTCTTTGTATTCCCCACTTCTGGGCAGTGACTAGTGGCCTTTTGTGTATGTGTTTATAAAAGGAGCTCTAGGTTTCAGATATCCAGGTTCTTCTCTATGGGTTCTTCTCTTCTTCTAGGTTTACAATATGATTGGCAGATTTATGCATACTGCTTTTGTATAATTCGACATGTATTTGTTCTGTGTTTGTCTCAGTTATCGGTGGGACTTTATGCCTTCAAAGTGACGGTTTCTGGTGAAAATGCCTTTGGTGAAGGTTTTGTAAATGTCACGGTCAAACCAGGTAAATCAGTTGGCTAAAATAATGAAATTAATTTCTTCAACGCAAGTAGTTATACAACATGCTTATCTAATAGTCTGTCAGTTACTGTCTGTCAAGGACGTCTGGTAGTCCGGTCATGCAGACATGTTTCATATCTTGGTGTCTATAAAGCATTTTAAGGAAGTAGAGTTAAGGATCTTGCTCACTGTCTTTAAGTGCTCTCTGGTCTTGTACCCTCCTCAGGCAAGCCCTGAGATAGCATCATGCCACCTTTTATGGTCCCCTTCTCCAGTACAGCTAGAAACAGCAATTAGGTGCTGAACACCCAGGTCTAATCTAAATTATACCAGTTAGAACTGGCTGCAGTGGAAGACTGCTGCATCAGTGCACTGCTCTTCAGTAACCTGTTCTCGCCCTTGTCCAAAAAGGACAGCAGATGCTGCAAAGCTGTCAATCCTAGATTTGAATCACTGCGGACTATTGATCTGTAGAGTTAACAGATTAGTTTTGCCTGGGCTTTCACTATTCCCCCCCACATCTTTCTTACAGCAGTCAGAGTTAACCAGCCGCCTGTTGCCATTGCTTCACCCGAAGTACAAGAACTTTCTTTGCCTACAACTTCTACCTTCATTGATGGCAGTCGTATGTACTGGACCATTCTGTGCTTATATCCTGTATTTTTACTATACAGTTACAATGTTATTGTTTGTCAATTACAAGTGAAATTCCTTCTTCTCACTTGTCTCAGAAGTTCCCTGAATCATTATTTATTTTGGGGATTTGAGTCCAGTTATAAATTATTTTAATAAATAAAAATAGTGATAAAATGCAGCCTTCCACTTGGGGATTGAGATGCAGTGTGTCCAAGGCTGCTGCATCCAAACAGCAGCTACTGTTACAGCTTCTTCCTCTCCTGCCCAGAAGACCTCTGTGCCAGTACAGCTGGCGCCATGGTAGAGAGCTGTCACATAGGGTATGATGAGATGTCATAATTACATTCATAATTACTGAGAGCAGACAAGTTGGAATGTGCAGAGTTTGAGACTGATTTTTATTGTGTGTGTGTGAGAATTTTTTGTTTGTTTAGATAAACCATACCAAATGTAACTTGGAATCTGTGGTTTAACAGCTATGGTACATGAATATACCTGTTTGAATATACTTTGAAAGATAATTGTAGAAAATCAGTTAGGGATTAGTGCATGAAAGATTTTAGTATTCATTCCAGTAATTGCCACAAGAAACTGATACGTTTTTCTTTAATGAATGTAGAAAGTATAGATGATATGAAGATAGTGAGTTACCACTGGGAGGAAATTAAAGGTCCTTTGCGAGAGCAGAAGGCATCTGCTGACACACCTGTCTTGCACTTGTCTAACCTTGTTCCTGGAAACTACACTTTCAGGTACCTGCACAGATGCTTTCCTTTGGGGTTTTAACTATTTCTGTGATATCAGCTAAATGTTTGTTTTTCTTTGTGCTCACATGTACCTCCTCAAACAAAAAAACTTAATTTTTCTTCTGCATGCACAGTGCATTTTGCACAGTGGAGAGACATAGGGAGCAGTTTTATTAAAAAGTGCTTGCAGTGATTTTGTGATACTGGTGTAGTGATATTTTACAGCGCCAAATTATGCAAAACAAGGTATCGGAAATTAAATACCTTCCACTCCCAGCAATAATAACTGTAACAGAACACTTTTTTTTTTTCTTTCTTCCAGCTTAGAAGTTGGCAAGTGTCCGGAGATGAAACTCTGCAGTCAGGCTGTGAAAGTCATCCCCTGAAGGGTGGTGGCAGACAGAACAATATTGGGAGACTGACCCTCGCAAGGCACTGTTGTGTGCTGATTTTAATAAAAGTCATTCTGTTCTTCATAAAAGCCTTTGCCTTGCTACAGTTTTCCTCCATTTATGCATTGCTGAGGCTGGATTTTGTCCAGACAATGGAAGCAATGTTTGTGGTTCTGGATGCTTTAATTAAAATCAGAGTTCATTTTCAGAACCTTTTAACTTGAAGCCTAGTCTGCACAGAGGCAGACTTCCCATTGACCCAGCCTGGGTTATTTGGCTGCCATGGATAACAGCCTACCACGCAATATATTATGTATCAGTGTAGCATTAGCAGAATGTGGAAGCCAGCGTACATATACATTAAATGTGGTGCTTTGCATAAGCTTCACCAAAAATTGCATAGCTTCAACTTTCATTTTGTGTTCTTTACTGGAATTGTTCCATATTGTACAGTGGCAGAAATGAGCGTAGGATTTTTTTCTGTATTAAAAAGGGCAGAGCTAGCTTACAAGCAATGCTCTAAGTGTGTTCCAAACCCTAGGGAATTAAGAAATCAGTTGCTATATCTGTGCACCTTTGGGGGAGGCTGAGGTACTTGAACAATAGAGCGGTGTGTTTAAGATTACAGGAAATTAGCTGGTCAACAAAATCCTGATGCTCCTGATACGCATGGATGTGCACCCACTGCAAAAGTATGTGTTCCCTAATGACAGAATTTATGAGCACTAGTTTTGTTCCCACTCAGGGAAGGCTTCAAGAGTGGTTGCCTTCCATATGGTCAGCTGTATGCAGTTTTCACAACAGGTGAATTAGAGATGTAGGCAGTTACCACATTGTGGAGGGCAGCCTTTCATCACTTTCAGGTGTCTGCAGCAGTCTCATTTTAAGATAATTTGTCATTGTGTTTCTGAGAGGCAATAGTTTGTTTTTTTTAAACCCTGTACTTTTTCAGTTTTGTGACTTGACATCTTCAAATATCTGAGCTGATATTACGCTCTGTTAAAATTAGTAGTAGTGTGCCACAAAGAAGTAAGAAGTTAGGAAGTACTACTGTGCTATAAGCAGAGCTTCTGAACATCCAGAGTAGTTTTGGGTGTAGGTGGTAACAGTCCCTGTTCCACTGTGGCTGATGAATGAGATCCCTGCTTTTTGCTGAGTAAATTTTTTAAAGAATTTGCAGTGAAAACTGTTTGAAATTGATGAAGTTGCCATTGACTGCAGGGAAAGGATTTCATCTGGGATTCAGAATAGCTAGGCGCTATTTTTTTTTTTTTCTTCTTAAAGGTTGAAAGCTGTGTTTCTGTGTCTTCTGAATTTCTTTCCTATCTTAGTTGAGGGATACGTGTTTCTGAAGCAAAAGTTTGTATAATCTAATCAGTGGCTCTGTTTTAGGTGGTGTTTGAAAAAGTACCAGAAAAAGTTAACCTTTGAACTTAGGACTTGGCAGAAGTCCATCTTAACAGATTTCCAATATTGTTTTTCCTGTTGTAGACTCACAGTGATTGATTCAGATGGAGCAGCCAACTCCACCATTGCTTCTCTGACTGTCAACAAACCAGTGGATTACCCACCTATTGCCAATGCAGGACCTAATCAGGCAGTCACCTTGCCCCAGAACTTCATCACGCTGAATGGAAACCAGAGCAGCGATGACCATGAAATTGTCAGCTATGAGTGGTCGCTCAGTCCCAAAAGCAAAGGCAAGGTTGTAGCAATGCAGGTATGTCTATTTCTCCTTGCATAAGGTTGGAAAGCTCTTTTGTCTTTGCCTCTAACACGAGCAAGCACATACCTAAGTAACTACTCAGAAGCACTGAAATATCTGGAGTGCTGTTGCTTTTTTTTTTTTCCTTTTTTCTCTCTCTGATGTATTAAGCTCTTATTTTAGATACTACTTTTAATTCCTTCTCATAATTTTTTTCATTCTTTGTGGCGATTTCTGATGCCTGCTGTTGTTTGTTCCCGGGTGGCTTGGAAAGACTGCAAGTTCACAATATCTGTCCTTGGGCCCTAGCGCCTGCTCCACAGGTTTCCATCTTCTGAGATGTTGGACACGCTGAAAATTGTTTTTGGGAGAATGTGGGGGTAGTCAGGGTTTTCTTGTAACAGTTTCTCGTGGAGAAAGTAGGACTCAAACAGAAACTTAATTTTCTGAGTGAAAGATGACAAGACTTTTGGCAGTGTTATGCAGCCATGCTCCATGGTGGGTTTTTTTATGCTCACTAAAACACGGGTTTCCTATGAAGGCTAACTGAATTTATTCTCTTATTTTCATGGCTGTATATTTTTTTTTTTTTTTAGTCTGAGAAAATCTAATAAAGATTTTCAGTGGACTTGCACTCGATAAGTTGGAGATCCTTGTGATTCTGTAGGCAGTAGAGGTAATTAATGTAACGAAGCCAGCTGAAACTCAGAAGCCATTTTTTGTAATAGACATGATAGACATGATTTCTGCTATGTTGCAAATGCTTTAGACCTTCAGAACTGGAAAAAGATCTGTTTAGGAAAGGAGTAATATTGATGCAAGCATATACTGTAGAGGCAATTACGAACTATGGAAAGGCTTATAGCATAATGGCTTATTTCTGTTCATTTACCAAGACAAACACTTTCCAAAAGCATCCATGCAACCTGAACTTATAGTTTTTAAGAGCTGTTCGATCTTAAAGCAACCTTCCTGAAAGAAGGGAATGACTACTTGAGATATCTAATGGATTCATTGGGTATTTAATGTGGAAATGCAGCAGCATTTATAGTTTCTTTTCAAGAGCCGAGTAATCTTTTCATGTCCCTAAAGCTGAGGATGCTGGTCTCAGGTGAGTTACATGGTATCCACAGTTAGAGTGCAATGTAACAAGTACCTCTGCTGGCTAGTTAATCGTTTGGCAAATCCCTTAGTTCTCATTATCATCTTTATTAAAACAAAAACAAAAAACAACAACAAAAAAAAACCCCAAACAAACAAACCAAAACTAATTGCATTGTGACTTGTTATTCCTTGTATGAGAGATGCCACAGATGTTTGTTTTATTAGCAAAAGGGCCTAAAGCTGGGCCCAGTCATTTTATGAGCTTATATAGATATCAACTAATACTGCTGGAAGAGTATACTCAGGAAAGAGTTGTCTTAGAATCATAGAATCATTAAGG